TGATCTTATGGCGAAGATGAACTTTGATGCCTACAGATTCTCAATTTCTTGGTCCAGAATATTCCCAAGTAAATATAATATTAATTATTACCAATTCTCCTTGTAAAATAATATTCACTAGTCTCCTAAATAGGGGAAATGCCTGTTACGGAACTATTCCGTCGGGATTTGTACCATTAGATCATTATGTAACTGTTGGGGATAGTTGATCTAACGGTTATAAACCCCGACTGAATAGTTTCGTAACGGAACCGACCGTAGCGTCTCCCACTAACTAATAATCATAAATCACATGTTCCTTCAAATGAAATTGCAGATGGAACTGGAAAGGTCAATAGGAAGGGAGTTGCTTACTATAACAGGTTGATCAACTACATGCTCAAAAAAGGTAAACAAAATATATATGTATATATAAAAAAAATACTCAACTCCTCTTTATAATTATTCATCTAACAAACATTTTGCAGGAATCGAACCGTATCCGAATCTTAATCATTACGATCTTCCTCAAGCGCTTCAGGATAGATACAACGGGTGGCTTGGCCGTGAAGTAGTGTAAGTATATATCACACTGCAAATTGAGTGAGTGAATCACTGTTTTCTTTTGGTTTTAAATTTGAACCTGAGGATGAGTTTGTTTTTGTGTTTTGAACTTGGTGCAGGAAAGATTTTGCCGATTATGCCGAGTTCTGTTTCAAAACATTTGGAGACAGGGTAAAGAACTGGCAGACATTCAACGAGCCTAGAGTGGTAGCTGCCCTGGGATATGATAACGGGTTTTTCGCACCCGGAAGGTGCTCTAAAGCCTTTGGAAACTGCACGGAGGGAAATTCGGCCACCGAGCCTTATATCGTTGCCCATAATCTCATTCTATGTCATGCAGCCGCTGCTCAGAGATACCGTGACAAATATCAGGTTAAACAATGAAAAACATATTCATGATTTTCACATGATCAACACATTCTAATTAAAAAGAAAAAAAAAAAAATATCTATGCATGAGATGTGTTTTTGTTGATATTATGGTTTTAGGAAAAACAAAATGGTAGGATCGGGATTCTGTTGGATTTCGTTTGGTACGAGCCCCTTACGAGATCCAAAGCGGACAATTATGCAGCGCAAAGGGCAAGAGATTTTCACATCGGATGGTAAACAATTAGTCCGCGTGCTTTGTCGATGCTCGATAAAGCACTTTTGACCGTAAAAATAAAATAATGTGACAAATTTCAGTAACTTCAACATGTTTGTTTCGTGCATTATGTAAGGTTTATGCATCCTCTGGTGTATGGAGAGTATCCAAAAACAATGCAGAATATAGTCGGGAAGAGGCTGCCGAAGTTCACAAAAGATGAGGTCGAAATGGTGAAGGGCTCCTTCGACTTTGTTGGCATAAATCAGTACACAACATACTACATGTACGATCCACACCAGGGAAAACCAAAGGACTTAGGCTACCAACAAGATTGGAACTGTGGATTTGCTTGTAAGGAGATTTTTTTT